GTAAAATAGCTTAGGAAAAGTGTTTTGGAAAACAGTTGCCATAGGGCTGTACACACAGATGTGGCCTCTAGAAATGACTGTGTTATTTCACATAGCAGTTATACTACTGTTCTTCAAAGAGAGAAGAGCCAGGACAGATAAATTATCCTAAAGTTCTCTACTCCAAAGAGGGAGAATTAACCCTTCTAGTCAAAGAGGGAGACCAGTTCAAGTCTTCAATACACATTGAAGAACCTAATGCAAAAAGCTGAAGCGCTCCAAAGTCTGAACCTTCCTGATCACTGACCCTGATATCACAAATGAAAAGTTCCACATCTGACCTCCTGTGGCGAGTTACAGTCAAAATGCAGGCGCACTAAAAATGTACCACATTTTCTTCAGGCCATGTGTGTAAGGAATACAAGATCCATAAATGAATGTCATGTTTAGACTCATGTCTTATTTTGTACAAGGTGTGATTAGAAAACATGGGAAATGTTTAAATTTTTGAAAATTTATTATAGTAAAAAATGCATTGCCTAATCACCCTCAGAATAATCCCTTGCATTTCTGACACATTTATCCTATCGTTCTTGCTACTTTTGGAAGTAGTTTTGGAAGTCTTTTTATGGGTTCTTTGTTTCTCTATCATGGCCGCTTCCACATCCTGAATTGATTCCAAATATTTACCTTTCCTGGTCACTCTGATATGGGAAAAGAGCCAGAAGTCTCTGGGGGCCAGGTGCAGTGAATAAGGTGGATGAGGACACAGCATAATGTTTTGTTTGTTTGTTTGTTTGTTTGTTTGTTAAGACAGGGTCTCACTATGTAGTTGAGACTGATCTGGAATTCACTGTGTAGCCCAGACCGGTCTCGAATCCAAAGAAATCCTCCTGCCTCAGCCTCCGGAGTGCTGGGATTACAGGCGTGCGCCACCACGCCCAGCTCACACACCATAATGTTTTTACACTCTTGCCTTTCCATTGGATGGCACTCAGCAGCAGCATTCGCTGTATTTTTAATCACACCTCATGAAGACATTCCCAAAAGAAGACTTCCAGACCTGCTTCAGAAAGGGGCAAGAACGAAGGGATAAGTGTGTTCAGAGGAAGGAGGAGGATTGGGAGGAGGATTAATGGCAATGTCTTATATTGCAATAATTTTTAAAAATTTAAACACTCTGTATATTTTGATCACCCCTTAGACAGTATATATAAATATTCTGGAGTCTGGAAAAGCCTGAAATCCCAAACACTTCTGGTCCCAAGCACCTTGGATAAGGGACTCTCAACCTGTAGTTGTTAAGTTTGCTTCAAGGTGTGTTGCTTTTTAAACCCCACCCAGCTCCCGTCTGTGGACCAGGTAGCTCAGAGCTCCATTGGTGGAAGCCCAGCTGAGCTGAGTAGGAGGCCTCCTTCCTCCCAAAATAGAGAGGGCAAAGGGACAAGCTGTTAGATCTTGCTGATGCCGAGAATCAATGAGTCTCTCCTCAGCATCTTGTTTTCCATAAGCAGCTTAATTTTATCTTTCCCTGCACCTACATGTCTTGCCTGAGGAAGCTGAGCAGCCTGGGAGAAGAGGGGCAACCAAGAGACTGTGCCCTCTTCTGTTTTCTCTTGCTCCCTGCTTCCTGAGCTAGGCACCTTGTGATCTTTGCCTAGTAATTCTGCCAGCCCAGGCTGTTTTGGTGCCTTGCATCTTTGAAATAACATCCCATGCTGAGAGCCTGGGAGCAACAGGGAACAGAAACATCTGGAAGAGAAGAGGTCCAGACAGACCTGGCAGGTGAGGAGGGTTGCCAGGGTAGCATTCAGTCTGAACACATTTTCCAGGGGAGTCCACATGGCTGTTTTCCTGTCCCTGTGGCCGTCCTCCTTGCCCAGTGTCTGACACACCCTGGAAACTGCGTACAGTCGTGGCCGCATGAATCTGCGCAGAGTTCTCAAATCTAAATGCCTGCTCAGGCAAGGACAGTGAACTAGACTACTGAAGTTTTAACAGTAGGGAGGAATGAGAACTGTGGCCCAGAAAAAGCCTGTGTCCTACTAGCTGGGTGGCCAATCTGTATCTGTAGACTCACTGCTGGAAAAAAAAATTTCAAGAGGAAATAAAAAATCTGGGAGGAGAGAGAGAGAGAGAGAGAGAGAGAGAGAGAGTGTGTGTGTGTGTGTGTGTGTGTGTGTGTGTGTGTG